CCGTGTAGTGCCCGTCCACCTTTCTGATGGTGTCTGCCTCCGCGCACAAAAATGAGATGAGCATTACTGCCTGCGCCGACGGCCAGAAAGGCCCGCGCATATACATTTTCCCGCCTGACCCCATCCGTGCCGACCCAACTCCACCACCACACGCACACCTCGCGGCGGATGCGCAGCAGCAAGAAGGTTTCGGTCATCCCTTGAGGGTGAGTCTAGCCCTGCTCGCCAGAAAGACCCCCCCCTTCACTACAACCCATGTCTAGCCAAAAGCTTGTCGAGGAGCGAGGGGAAGAAGGGAGAAAGTGGAGAGTGTTAAAGAGGACCCGATTCGCACGGTATCTGTCGATTGACTCTTACCTGAATCGGTAGACTACACCACCTTCGCACTACCCTACTGCTGAATGTAAGTTTCCGTAACACTCTTCGCAAATCCTCTACAACAAGCAGCAAACTCCACGACACAGACAGGCAGACGAATACACAAGCGGCGAGGAGCTCCAAGGGCCACGCGGTTCAGCGCAATTCCCTGCGTTGCACACTCGAGCATCGGAGATGAGAGATCAAAGTACTGTAGCTCAATGGACACTTCCAGCGTATGAAAATGCTGCACAACCGCGAGTCCTTCCGGAGCAGTATGTTCCAAGTCACCCTCAGACTCGCGCCTCCGCGTGCGAAATGAATCAGCTCCCTCCCGTGTTTCGCAAAATCTGCGCCGTGTTGATCAACCCGTGGCAGTGAAACTTTTTTTTTTCAAATCTTGGTCAATGAGACTGTGTTATGGAGGAACAGAGAAATATAAGAGGGAGGGAGCAAGTTCGTTGCTGAAGGACTGCGATTCCCCGCGACCTTCCACGCACCTTTCCAAGGACGGACAGCCAAAATATTTCGAAACTTGCACAAGGGGGGCCATCATGGGATGAAGGAACAGTGTTTGTTCTTGTTCTGGAGCTGTCTTATCATCACCGGGAACGACGAGGTTTCTGCGATTGACCGGAGCAACACTGCCTGACTAGGGCAAATTCGACCCTGTTCGCCGGTGATAAGCAACTGGATTATGGCCTTTTTTCGCTTAGAAAAGCAGGTCGTGTCGAATTGATTTTTAGGGGACACAAGGCAACCCTGGGGGGGCGTGTTCGTGGTTACAAAGCCAAACCGGACGCGGGCATCATTTTTTGTTGAAAAGCACGATGACCACTAGACCACCAGTAGTCAGCGCTGACTGGTGTACATGGTGGTCATCGTGCTTCTCAACATGCACCATATCGGGACTTGGTCAGTTTCGGAACTGCTCCTGCATTTGAAGTCTTCGTCCCTCGGCTGGTACTTATTGTGGCGGAGATGATGCGCGTTTCTTGTGTCTCTCTCCCCAACGTGGTGGCCTACACACCGAAAAATAACGACAGAATTCGAGAGGTTCTTTGTCGAACAAGTGGAACAACCGTTTATTGTTTTTTCTATAGTGCGAATCGGTAGAACGTGGTGCCTCGTTCTCATATTTGGAAACCTGGGGTCACCAGAGGACGATTCCCTACTATCATTGTGTCACTCTGTGGAGGAGATCGAGCTCGTTGCAGCTGTAGCCCATCGTGTACGAGGACGAAAGGAAGCGACAGAGAACTTGAAGAGACGGAAGAACAGCAGTGGCCGCCCAACGAAGGTGGCGATAGACCAGCATTCCCACCTTCCCATTCTTTTTTCTTTTGAAGGTGGGGGAAGAGATCGGGACTATTCGGGGTTAAGTCGGTGGGTGCTGTAGTCGTACGTTGTGTACCATTCAAACACTTGTATTGTTCAGTTTCGAGACTCCTGCAAATTTTTACGGGAGGACAGATGGGTTTGGTTGAAGTTGTATGCAGTGCCTCGTAGTCAACGTGGCTGACGAGATGATGTGCGTTTCTTGTGTCTCTCTCCCATACGTGTGGCCTAGAAACCGAGAAAAACGACGCAATTCGATAGAAAATATATCAACCTTTCTTGTGATCGTGTAACTCATCATTTGATGAGTCACACGATCACAATGATGAGTCACACGATCACAAGAAAGGGTGATATATTTTCTTCTTTTTTTTTTTGCCTTCCGACAATTGCAGCTGTACCTCAGAAAACTTTCACTTAATGTCTCATACTCTACATGAATATTAAACCAATGCGAAGTACAACAACATATGCAGGACTTATTTTCACTGTCACTTACATCGCAAAAATATCTCTTCAACTTGAAATAAAACAAATGACAATCCTCATGGTATCCTCTATGCGTTCGTAAGCTTGCTAAAATACTACTGCGTTGATGTCCTCTTGTAAAAGCTGAAATCCAACAAATGCTTTGATCCATGCTACATCTTCGTGTTGGAAAAGCCCTTTCTTCTCCGTTCATGATAACATCTTACCCTATTCTACGCAAATCTGTCACATCTACTCTCAAACAAGACGCCAACTTCAAACGAAACGCGTTCTACGATGCGTCTACACTCCATCCCCATATCATTGGCGTTGACTGGTCCGAGGTCGATCTTGTTCGCCTGTTTTCGGCGTCTTGACGCCCGCGCAATGCGAGCTTGTACCTCTGCACTCGCCGAGATATGGCCACCTGTGTAGCCACCGAAACGATCTGAAGAAGTCGTTCCTTGAAGACTCCTTTCAGAGCCATCGTTCCTCCGTCCCTTCCTCCCACGGCATGTGTCGCAAGTTCATCGATGAGCTCGTAACCCTCCTCTCCAAGGCGGCCAAAGCTTTCCACGGCTAAGGTGGTAAGTATAAAGCTGCGTTCGTCAAAGGACACGTGTCCCGGACGAGCGTAGTGCTGACGCTTTCGCGCCTCGGATGCTTGGGCTGCGGTTCCATCGCTGGTCGCGCTGCCGTTCCGCAAGTGTACCTGTGCTTGCGGGTCTGCGTGTGTGACATCGAGGAGTATTCCTTTGTTGCGGTACCCCGGAGAAGATGCGTTCGTGAGGGCTCCTGGCCTGATGACGATGTCCATGCTCAGGTTTCTTTCCCCTGTGAACGGTGCCCCGCTTTCAACGTATTTTCTATTGTCGATTGATGTTTTGAACTCCGCCCATAGAATCTTTGTCCGTGAGCATCTTGCTATTTGACGCGTCAGCACGAACTATTGTAGTTGCGCTACTCATGTCCTTCACGAATGATTTTTTCGTCAGACCTGATCACTAGCCAATGCTGGCCTATCCGAGCGAGGATCGCATGTTGTCATAGTTCCAAGGGGTAGGTTGCCAACGTTTTTTTCAGGCGGACACAGACGAGGCGGTAGCGCCATATGGCGGTAACTTTTTCGGTGCGAAGCGGTTTGACGTTCTTCGGCGGTAATGTGATGTGACGGTCCCACGGTGGGAAATTACCGAGCTAGACCTTGACATGTTTTCACGTCCAATTGGGAACTAATACCTCAACAGACAGAGGCAACGTTCCCATTGAACAGAACAACACAGAAAAACAACTTCACTCGGTGCCCGTCCAACCGCTACCGAAGTGACTGAAACAAGGCCACAGGGCGACTTTTTGCCGGGTGTTTTCACCCTAGAGTTGGCCATACAGTAGGAAAGTGTATCCATCGAACACAGAGAACAAACTGCGGGTTATTGGTGTACCAGTTCGAATTTGGTAGTTTCACTTGATATTGTTCGGAAACTCGACGTCACGAGGGGAAGAAAGTAGAACACACTTCCCAGTCATTCCTTTGAGAAGAGAGCACGTAGTAGCCCTAGCAATTTGAGTACCGAGCGGACGCTACAGAGCGTGTGAAGCGAAAGAAGGACCGCAGTGGCCGCCCACCATCGGTGGCGGGAGCAAAGTATAGTGGAAGGACGGGACACGGCCGCAGGCACTGGAGGAGAGACCACATCATCGAAGATTTCCCGCCGTTGGTCATCATCGAGTGGACGAAGACTCTCGCTTCATCGGCATTGGGCGGTGTCGGCACGGCAATGTGCTATCGTCCGTTACGGGGCGGGGACCAGCTTCCTTCGGCGACAAAGCGATCCCGCGGGTCCACGGCGGAAGGTGGAAGCGCGGGTGCGACGTGAGGCGTCAGAGACAATGCAAACAACAAGAGCTGCCGAACGCCAGTTCAGAAAATGTTGATCCACTATCAAAGAGCAGAGACGAAGTGACCGGAAAGTCAGGCGTGAGAGCAGGCGGCGTTGTAGTTGCTCTGTGGGGGAGTTGTTGTCGTGTCATGTGACGTCAACCTGATTCGGTGGACACCGTTGGGTTTTTACAATTTTGGTGGAGCAGTGAGAATATTTTTCGATTAGCGCTGCCCCCGTGCGGTTTTGAATGTATGATGAATTCGGGACGAAACCCCGAGAGATCTTGTTGCATTCCTTCGGCGAATCGGAGGAGTGACGGTTTCAGCACCAGGTGGAGACATCGCTGTACATCGAACTTCTTAGCAGGTAAATGAAAGTCGGACGCATACAATCCGTGCGATCAGAATAACGTAGAGTAGCAACGAGTCAGCCGGGGAAGGGACCATACGGGGAACAAATAGTCGCCTCCGACTGCAGTCGTCCAGAAAATACTTCGATGTGGGTATTGTACCATGGTTTTCCATTTGGAGGCGCCTGGTCAGTTTGGAACTCTTACGTTTGCAAACGCAGTCCCCCGGCTGGTACTTTTTTGGGGAGAGCGACATGATTGTAATAGCTAACGTCGGGCCTCGCAGTGAACGCGGCTGGCGAGACGATGCGCGATTAATGTGCCTCTCCCCCCCACATGTGGCCCAGAAACCGAAGAATGAAATGAAGCAACTGGAAATATAATAACAAAAGGAAGATTATCCGTCGAACAGAGATGATATACTGGGGGGTTATTCGTGTGATTATTCGAATGCTTGTTTCCTTTATCGTTGTTCGGACACTTGGGATCAAGAGGGGAAGAAATTAAAATCCCCGTCCCTTGCCATTCGGTGGGAGAAGAGCACGTAGTAGCCGTGGCAAGTTGAGTAACGAGCTACAGACCGCGCGAAGAGAAAAGAAGGACAGCAGCAGTGGCCGCCCAACGTCGGCGGCGGCAGTAAAGCAACAATCCCGCCCTCCCACCCCTTTTCTTTCGAAGGTGGAGGAATAAGCTCGGAATCATTCGGAATCTACATCCGTGATTTAGAATGGTATGTGCCGTTGGAGACTTGGTTAGTTTCGGGACTCCTACGTTATCAGTCGCAGTCTCCCGGCTGGTATTTTTGTGGGGAGAGAGAGATTTAATGTGGTGCATCGAAGCAAATGCGGCTGGCAGGACGGCGTGCGTTCAATTTACCTCCTTCCCAAACGTGTGGCCTAGAAACCAAAGAAACGTAATAAAGCAATCGGCAAGAAAACAACAAGAAATTATGTTGCCGCTCGAGGCCATACACCAATGGGCGGCCAGAATATGTGTTCCATGGCACTTCTAGTAGCATTCGCATGGCCAACATTTACCACGTCGTAGCCACAATGGGCTTGCCAAAGCCACCGCGATCCCTCCTTCTACCCATTGTCCTGCTTGACAGGAAGATAGAGATAGATATTGTAGGTGATCTGAACAACGAATGACATACGGTAGTTAGATGAAATTTCGGTTGTATGGTATGATTTACCGACATTTTAGCATCCGACAACGGATAGATTCCCCACATCCCGGTGCCGACGGATCTATGCCTGTTTTTTCCGACATACTCGAAACACATTTTTTTATCGACCCGTAAAACGAAATAATTGATCGTCTAGCCATGGGTGGCGCATTCAGATGCATACGTTCTTCAGCCTAGCACAAAATGTCACCTAACTCGGCCACCATTTGAAAGGCCGAGAGCAGACGAAAGGATACGTGATGACACGGCGAAAGTAGAGACGCCGCCAAACATTCATGAAAACACAGTGACTTCCTTGATTGCATGTTGTTCTGTCAGCTGGTCGGGGAAACGTCTTACTATGGTGGAGACCGCGGCGAACGCGATTCATTTGAACGAAGCACATACCAATGCACAAAGCGGATCCCCGCTTTTGCATCGAAGCACTGCATGTAGTACCTGGGCGGGTGCAGCCAGTGTGGCTCGAAAACCCATTTGTCGAGGCCAATGATCGACGAGTGTCGACGCACGACCGGTCCTCCCCTGACAGAAGGGCTGCCGACCGCCAGCAGGGCACAGCCGTACTCAGGAAACCACTTGACGCTTCTGTCGTCAAGAGCTTGCTCGGAAGCTTGGACAAGAGCAGACCGCCAATCGATTTCGGCGAGAAAGGTTTCGCAGCCTGGAAGCCCTCGACTCCCCTGCATTCATTGAGAACACGGTGGTCGCAGGGAAGGGGTGAGGTGAAATCTCCACACTTGTGAGTAGCGCGCAATGCACAGAGGAACAGATGAAGCAGGATAAACAATTTAGCACGTGTAGAACCAACGTGAAATACACTCTTCATGGATATCAATAGTCGACATCTCATGCAACGTCTTGGGCGTGTTTCGCCCCGTAGGATTGCTGTCAGCGGGCGAGCGCACACAGTATTCCTGCGGGGACGATCGATCAAACCCCACCAACGGTAACTACTTGCTAGCGTTTCATATATCACGGAACGAGGCGGGTGGAAGTGAAGGAAGAATTGAGCGCTCGAAGGAGGGTGTCGACGAAGACAGGGGAAACGGTGCTAGGTGAGGTGGCGCGGATGAGAATATTAGTAGCAACGAGATAGGGAGGGTAGGAAGAGCGAGAAATGAATGAAGGGAATGAACAAACGAGGCCAGGAGGTTTTTTGGGAGAAAGCAAATGACCCAGCTGCTCTTCCACACGACAAGGGTCGGAGAAACAAGAGCTAACCGATGTGGTGATGGAACAATGAAAAAAACGAGTGGTGAACGCAAGGAGGATGGTCGAAGCAAACAGCGCAAAAGGCCAAACATCGGAAGTGAAAGCGAGAAGTAAAACCCCAGCAGACGAACACATGTATTTCTCTTGATTTGCTGCCGTTTTTGTCTGTAGTTCGGAGAATAGACTAGCCTCTCCCACGATAACACCTCACAGACCCCCAGATGGTGGCCTCTAGAAGCGCTTTTCTGTGTTCTGCAGCACTGAGACTGGCGTCGTTTCAACGGATAGCCGGAAAGCACGGTCGATGATGATATTAACCACTCACAGCCGGTCGCTGAGGTAAAAATTCTTGCTGACGTTTATTAATTCATGATAAAATCCAGAGTGAACACCAACCAGTTGTCCAGAGTGACGGATACGATGTCGTCCACTGTGAGATGACGCTGGATCGCAGTCGGGTTGCCAAGGCGACAAGCTTGAGAGTACCTGCTTCGTGTGTGCTTGAATGCTTGAGCAATACCGGTACTTGAAGGAAGAGTGACTCTGTTGGGAGATCACATTCATCCGTGGTCTGGAATACACTCACGTGCCATCTCTCGCGCGCATGCTACTGTACACATGGAATCGTTCGCCCTTGTACTTCCACGTCTCCTGAGGACCTTGCGGGTGTAAAATAATTGATGTATTGTGCTTTGCAGTGTCTGCCATTGAATCTCTCTAAAATGCACTCTACTTGAGTAGTAATCTGGCGAAGGGTGAACGACGGCGCTTTGTTTCTATGGTGGGCGGCGCAGAACGTTGTTACGACGCTGTGCGGTTCCTGCAATCATTGAGCTGACTGGGGCCTACTCTTCCTATTGGGCTTCTGTTGAAATTCCACGAGGTGCTTTCCAATCATTTGAAACGAGCTTACGCTGTTTGTTTTGAGCTTGTTTTCTGCCCACCACCTTACCTCATCATCATGTTTCTGTTTGTAGATACGGTGTAGATATTCTCACCGCCATCGTTTTGCAGTGCTTCGAAAGCAATGTGACGAAGCCTGCGACAGCTGCTGCACTCTGCTCCGAGGGAGGCGGCTTCCCCTTGAACCGGAACATGCTCGAACGCTGTGCTCCAGTCGCTTCTTCCGCCATCTCTCAACGCCTTGAAACGAGAGATGGCCAGCAGAGCGTGTCCAGGTGACCAGAGGCAGACTTGTTTCAGTGAACAATTACTGCGGGGAAGCCACGCTGAGTACTAATTGTCACTGTACTGTTGACGTCCCCCACAATATCCACAGATTAACAGTAGACTACTACTGCTGTACATGGTCCTCCGGTACGAAACTCACAAAAAATATTGTTCGAGAAAAATATCTGATCCGAGTCTTGATAATGTAAGACTAAATATACATTCTTTTCAAATTATACGGGCATTTCAATACTAACAGCTCCATTTGGATTCCGATTTGGGTCGCCCTCCAGATCGAGCCCCGTTGGCACTGTGCGGTGTGAAGCTACTCTGATGTATGCATGAACTCGAACCTGTCCGTGCCCTTCGCCGGAACCTGCTCTACGGAGTCCACGACACCCAATGCAGAACTTCTTGGTACTGGTAATTCGTATTCATTCCTGTGCGCTCTCTGTAGACCTGTCGGCGATATGCCCACAATTTCTCTTTCTCTCGGTGACACCAAACACCACCACCAGCTCTATTCGGTTTTAATCGTGCTGAAGTAGTATTGAATGTTTCTCATGCAACTATCCACGGGCGATGTGTGAATATTCTCGAAAACAACCAATAATATAGCCGCAGCAGCTGAGCAGAGCATCACGTACCACATGGATGGTCGGCTAACATCGGCATTTTTTCTGGCGTCGAATGAATGGCGTCCGAGCGTGCATGTCTGATGTTGTGGATTACTGAACGGTACTAGGCCACAGTAGTATATAATGTTTTACAAGACGCCTTGCGATTCATTGTGGGCACTCATCTTTACGAAGCGGGAGGAAATAAACGCCACCTGGAACATGCGACACGCTCATTTTCACCTGCTCTCCGTCCGGCCTTCAACCAAGTCCAAGAGCGAATACGAAGCGGTGTCGTAGTTGTGGGTGGGGTGATCCTGCATGAAGAAGTGAAGTGGGCGCACGAGGGTAAGGGAGGGTCAACGGCCACACACAGCTTGCTGCCAGCGGGCACGAGTAGCATGGGTGCAGCGGTAAAGATTGCATCTTTACCGCAGCTTGCCACTTTCGAAAAAATATATATCGGCCCACACCGGTCCCTCCCGCAACAGTAGTGAACTCTTTGTGCACGTGGCTGATATTCCGTGCATGTGAATTGGCTTGTCTGTTTGCACCTCGCTTGAACACAAGGCTCGCCGGTGATCACTTCACACACGGAAACAATCGGAACTGCCAATGGAGTACTTCGAAGCATCGACGTAAGCGAGGGGTCGATTCTTCGTGGGAAACGGTAAAAAAACGGATGGGATACGTATATACAGTGCCGGCCCGCTCGTGAGAAAGGTCTTCGTATGAAATCGAGGCTCAGAAATTCGGAAATTTAAGAAAAAGCGCCAACTACTTAAGAAATCGAGCCCATTCGACGGAGCGTGATAAGAAACGGAGTGGTCTAGTCTAACAAGAAAAATGCATAGCACAAATGTGACTTTCTAGACACAAGAAAACTTTTAAAGAGGATTCAAGGTTGTGGCCCCAGGAAACAAGAAGGGTAAAAGACACAACAGGGAATATGCCTCTGTGCTGTGTTTCTGTTCTTTTTTTCATGACCTCCCTGCCTACTTTGCTGTGTTGGATACTGTGATCTCGCTTTGCTGTTACCTTTGTTCTTGTACGTCTGGCTGTCTGCCCATCTGCCGCCTCTTTGTCCTGTTTTCTCCGTCACTCCCATGCCCTGGTGCGTAGTGCCTGGTGCTGGTACGTTACCCTTTGATTGTTTCTTTAGGCGGGTGTGGGAAGCGTCCTCCTTCATTTTTTTTATTGTTTTATTTTGATCGGTTTCCGAGGGCTCTTTTCTCGAACGGTCGGTGCGATACCTGTTCTTTTCTTTCTGTCATTTTGTTTTCGTTTTCCGAGTGGTTTGTACCCTTTCCCCGCGGCGTCGTGTGTGCCNACGTTACCCTTTGATTGTTTCTTTAGGCGGGTGTGGGAAGCGTCCTCCTTCATTTTTTTTATTGTTTTATTTTGATCGGTTTCCGAGGGCTCTTTTCTCGAACGGTCGGTGCGATACCTGTTCTTTTCTTTCTGTCATTTTGTTTTCGTTTTCCGAGTGGTTTGTACCCTTTCCCCGCGGCGTCGTGTGTGCCGGTTTTGAGACCACGGGCTCCCCATTTTTTGTGGACTATTGAGCTGATGTGAGAAACAACAACAACAACAACAACAACAACAACAACAACAACAACAACAACAACAACAACAACAACCCTGGTCGAAAAGCGACACACCTGGGTACACAGTAGTCATTAACAGCAGTAAATGCACTCATCTCATTGGTCAGCGCCCAATTTCACCCGGTGCGTCCGAAAAGGCGCAGGGTATACCCTGCCGTGACTACTTTCCTCAACAACTGTACCCTGTTTTCGGAAATGTACCCTGACCTGTCGGGAAAAAAGACCCTTTCATCAATCATTTCCCCCGCAGGAATCTTCCCAACTCCTTTTCCCCTCCAACCATGGGATTGTTATTGTTGTTGTTGTCTTCACATTGAAACCGTTTCGATCTCTCTCTACCCAGTACCTTCGTATGTCCGTACTGATACAGCACTCGACGCGGTCGATTCCCGTGGTCGCAGGCTAACTTACCCTAAAAAGGCACACTCAAATAAAATGGCCCCGAGGGGTCCGCAAGTCAATAGAAATCAACGACAGATATTCTGGAGTCCTCCACTCCCTCTGCGCGCTATGCGAGGTAACAACTGAGACTAGGGGTCACCATCACGGGCCGGAGAGAATGAGGTACACCCCCTTGATTCAATCTTGGTACTCCACAACGCAAGCAGAAACAAGTCCATCTATCACAGAAAAAGAGAGAAAAAGAGAACAAGAGAAAAAGAGAAGAAACTAAAAGGAAACAGTAAGGAAAGAGAAAATGAAATAAAAAGAGCGAGGACAAAAAGGGACCAGGCCGAAAATAACAAGAAAAAAAGGCACACGGTGGAGAGACCACTAACGACAAGCAAACACGCAAACATGGCCACCAACCAGCGATACATTGTAATGGTACGTCATCACTAGTGGGGGGTTGGTGCAATGGTGCAGCGTTGGGGGGGGGGGGATTGGCTCAAAGAAATTCAATCCGGCACATATCGCGCCACTCAGTCCGTCTCTTCTCGTTTGCTTTTGTCCCTCGCCGCCTCGTCCGTCTCCTGCCCCCCTCCCGCCCCATTGGTTGGTGGCTTGTGGCTTCGTTTGAGCGCCCGTTGTCGGCTGGCCTCTTCTTCCTTCTCGTGCCAGGAGGTCATGAACCTCTCAGCTCCCTGCAGCACCGCCGCATGCCAGGGTACTCCCCCCTCTACCTTCGCGGCTTCCGTCCACTTTAACTTCGGTGCCGTGTCTTTCGGTACCGGGATTCCGAGACAACATGGATCGGTTTTCGTAGATCCGTGGTCGGCCCCGAATGCCTTCAGGTCGTCGAGCACACACTTCGGCCAGTTCTGTTCCTGTCCCCCCCTACGTGGCTTCTCTCCCCCTGCCAGTTCGCCGAACATCAGTCGTTTCGGGAGTCGCCCGTCCGGCTGCCTTGCCAATGCTCCCGCGAACAGTAGGCGTCGTTGTCGGATCGTGGCTTCAACGCTCCGGCATTCGACCCTCTTCAGCGTCTGGGCGTAAGAGAGCTGCCGGTAGGTGTCTTTCTTGCGCTTGTACCCGATAACTCGAAGGAGCAGTCGGTGGTGTATCGACCGCAGCGTCTGATAGTGGCCGCTGAGTGGTGACCATGTCATGCAGCCGTACAGCAGTGCGCCCATCGCCTCCGCCTGGAGCAGGCGGATCTTGAGTCGGAATGGCGCTTGCGGTCTGTCGAAGAGCTCCCGGTCATATCGCCTGAGGCACGCCCACGCTCCTCTGCTCCTGTAGTTGTTCTCCCGGGTGAGGTCGCCATGTTCGTTGACGAGGCCACCGAGGTACCGGAACTCGGTCTTTTGGGCGTATTTCTGTCCCGCGGCTTCGATGGTCAGTGGTGGAGGCGGGGCGGGCTGTGATGTGGTAGTCGGCTTGTCCTTTGCGCGCATCAGGAGCGTCTCCGTCTTCTTCTCCGACACCGTTAGCCCGAACTACCCGAACACCTCAACGATGATGGTCATCATTCTCGCCAGTCCTTCTGCAGACCTCGATACGACGCCGGCATCATCGGCATACAGCATCCCCCATACTGCCCTCCGTACTCGGTCAAGGGGTGTCTCCTACCCCCCCCCCGCTTCCGTCTTCCCCTCCTCCAAGCACACCAGGCTCCGCAGAACAACATCATCCTCGCTGAATCGGATGACAACGACCTCGAGGACCTCGGCGAAGAAGATGTTGAACAGCAGTGGGGATAGCACACATCCTTGTCGCACGCCCTGTGTCACGAAGAACCAGTCCGATAGTTCTCCGTCGTCCATGCGCACCCGGGCCCGCATTCCATCGTGGAATTGGCGGATGACTTCGATCAGCTTCGCGGGAATCCCGGCCCTGGCCAGCACCTTCCATAGCATCTCTCGGTCCACCGAATCATACGCCTTGTTCAAGTCGACGAAGCACATGTAGAGCGGTATTTTCTTTCTCCGCCCCAGCTCCTGGAGGCGGCGCACGACGAACAGCATGTCGACGGTGGATCGCCCGGGTCGAAATCCGCACTGTTCCTCCGGGAGGATGTTGTTGGCTTCGCAGAAGGCGCTTAGACGGTTGGTGATGATCTTGATGGGGACCTTGCCTACGTGAGATAGTAGCGAAATCCCCCTGTAGTTGTTACAGTTGGACCGGTCACCCTTCTTGTACAGCACCTTGATGGTTGCATCCTTCCACTCTCGTGGAATATCTCCTCCGTTCCACACCTTGACGAGGATGGTATGGAGGTGTCCCAGGACGAAGGGTTCGTCGTCATCGATCTTGAGCAACTCGGCAGGGAGGGAGTCATGGCCGGGTGCCTTCCAG